TTAATTATATAAATACACATAAGGTATATTTATAAGATTTAAAATGTAATTATTATTTTGTACATCTGCATTTCTTTATGTGCTAAAAACTTAAATGTAATTTAAAATTTATTGTAGGGCATTTCGCTGTCGTATAGTCCTCAACAAAATAATCCATTGTGGCTAAATAATTTTGCAATTTAAATCTGCTTTTACATTGTGTGTTGTTTTCACCTGCTAAACGATAAATATAAAACATTTTGTAAGCCGCTTATTTGTGTGCAGCTATTATATAGCTTAATATTGGGTAYATTTACGAAATACTTAGTATTCTATATATATGTATGTATGAAGTTTGATTGTTGGCTTACACACTTCACACACACATAAACGCACGCACAGCATTTGCAAAATTACATTCTCCAAGTGTTTAGGTCCAGGCACCTGCTGCAGGCCCCCCGCACCCTCACTCTGATGCCGCCCATACAAAAATATGACGTATGTTGATGCTAACATGCAGAGTTGCCCGCAAAATAATAAAATGATTCTAATAAATTTTGTGCTACGAAATATTCCAAAACTCGGTCCACTGCCATCAAGAGGAAGCTGCACATTTTGCAGAAAGTGCTTGTGGGTGTATTTCTCTCTCTCCCTCTCTCCCTCTCTCTCTCTCTCTCTCTCTCTCTCTCTTTCTGTGTAGAGTATAAAAGGAATTAGGAATGCAATTTGAGGTTATGTTGGCAATGTGCGCTCAGGCAAATCGGCCGTACGGTAGTCCCGTTAGCCGCCTTCGTAGCCAAGCAACCGCATCCCTAGCTGTATGTGCCTGTGTGTCAGTTAGACAAACAGACAGTTGGTCTGGCAGTTGGACATATGCAGACGCAGCAAGCCATCCGTACGGCCCGAGTCCAAGCCATCACCCACCCGACCCCGCCCACTTTTGAGTATTGCACTCAAACCCAAGAATTGCCCAGATATTAATAGACAAAATTTGGAGTATTGCTTCCGTCATGAATAAAATTTTCGTGCAGTAAATGCAACGCATTGCCAACTTGAGAGGTTTCTCAACTTTGGGCCAGCCACTCCCACTCCCACTGTCATTCCATTGTCACCCCACTGCCGACCCTCGGCCGGGAGGGGCGCCTCTGTTCAGCTGGAGCACTCTCATTGTCGTCGTGTGCGTCAGTTTCCTTGAAAGTTTTCAAAATGTCCATTCGTGGAGCATTCAACGTCCATTCAGCTGTCTGTTTTTGTGGGTTTTTTTAATTTTAATGATGCTCGTCCACCAGCTGCCACTCCCACAAAAAAAACAAAATGTAAAATACTTGGGGGAGCTGCTTCTGCGAAAATTCTCAACCAAAACAATTTTGGGCATGTGCATTTTATGTGCGCATCGGGACTCGGAGACCCCGTCCGTATGGAACTCTATGGACAAGTATTTTTGTTTGTGTTTATTCGTATGTATTTATGGCAATAGCTGCTGCTGCTGCTCCTGCTCCTGCTCCTGCTGCAGCTGGATGGCAGTTTAAATGAGATTATTTTAGTTTGGGCATAGTTGAAATTTTCGCAAACTTGTTTCGTAATTTAGCAACAGAAAAAGGGATTTTGCTGTGCGCTCAGAGGTAAAAGCAGATTCACAGCGCCCAAGCTCAAGCTGAGCGCTATTCATCATCTATACCAAATATCGATAAGAGATACTCAGGACATGCTAGGAATATCTTACTCGAGTTGAATGTTAAGCATCAATCAATCAATTAGTTAGTCAATCACAGCCTCTACTAGGATAGAACTGCTTGGCTGAACAGCTGTCAGCCCCAAGTTGGCGCCGCGTTCTTCAAACGGCAAATTTGTGGCAAACCCAGTGCGGCCAATGTAAAATTCAGATAGAGCTTGCGCGCTTGAGTAAACAACTAAAAGATTTATGATATCAAAATAGTGTCACATAAAATATTCACACCTTCGCTCTGCCAGAATCTCGAACGGTTCAACAAAATGACTTAGTTTTCGTTTTCCTGGTCATGGTCTCTACCATGTGAGTGTGCGTTAGTGTGTGTGTGTGTGTGTGTGTGTGTGTGTGTCCGCATCCCAGTATCCCCAGAGTGGCCTCGTAACGCCAGCTGATGCCGTCGACTCGATAAAGCCATTGTTTATATGCGCTGTAACGAGTTGGATTGCATTTTGGCCATAAGTTGGCAGCATTTTTTATGCGTTCATCATGCGGTCAGCATAAATTTTTCATCGTCGACGTTTCGCTTGGCTGGCTCATTTTTAGCCAAATGTCTTGATATCGGACCACTCCGGTCGCCAGTCGCAACATGTTGCCAATTTTGATGTCTGCATGCCATAAATCAAAGCGCTTAAAGCCAAATCCGCAGTCAAAGTGAAAACTCCGACGCCAAATGCATTTGTGCCCGCCAGCGAAAATTGTGGAAAACTTTTACTCGAGTTTTTGTTGGAGTCGCTGCGGCATCTGCGGCTGCGGTCGACTCCAGAATTCATGCATATACAAAGTATTCGCAGAGCAGAGCTACCAGCTACCAGCAGTCCAACTGGACCAATGCAAATGCCACCCAGAAAAGCCAACTTTGAATTTACGTTAAAATTATATTAGGACATAAAAGAAACGATTCGACCTATGGTTGTTTCACAATCAAGCAGATGCCTATCGCTTTTCGTTTTGATTTATGTTATTATTATATATTTGTTCACGAAAGATACCTGCAAATATTTCATTGAAGAACTGACGCAACTCAGTTAGTTTTCGAGGCCAACTCGTCGATTATTTGGCCACTATGGCAAAGCGCGATTGAAATATTTGTTGATGTGAACGGAATCTGTGTGATATGGACGACAATTGGCAACGGAAGCAGCTATAGAGTGATGTGAATATGTATGTGATCATATAACCAGACAAACCCAAGGATTAGCGCCACTGCGGAACCTTTTTCCCTGCAACGAGTGAATGAAAATGAATGTCTGATGAATAGAGTGATCTTAATGAGAGTTAGTCTTACCTATGCATCCATTGCTGCTTCTTAATCTTAACGAATCATACATTGTGGGTGAACTGAAAATTGTGAGAAATTCAAATATTAGTAAAAACAAATAATTTGTATCGAGCACTCGAGATCTTTACTTTAGTCCATTGCGCGTCTCCCTGTAGCTATTGTTGCTGGAATAATCGTAATGGGCCTTCATGCGATTATGCTGCTGCTGTTGCTGCTGCTGTTGCTCCTGCTGTTGTTGTTGCTGCTGCTGTTGCTGCTGCAGCTGCTGTTGGGCGGCTTGCTGCTGCTGAGCGGCTTGCTGCTGCTGCTGCTGCTGCTGCTGCTGTTGCTGCATATTTGTATAGGCCTGAGCAAAGTTCCACATCATTTGGTTGGTGTTGGGATTCTGCATCCAATTGGAGTTGCCGGTCGCCGAGCCGCCAGTCATGCGGCCGTGTTGCATCTGCGGCATTTGAGTGTTCGAGCCCATTTGGGGCATGGCCGACATGGGCTGCAGATCGGGCACGACGACATTCATGCCACCGCCATCGATGCCGCCCCCACCGCCCATCACCGGCATCACAGAGACGCTGTTCAAGGGCGTCACAGCTCCAGGGGGCAGCTGCGACATCGACATGCCCAGCTGGCTGCCTTGAGTCTGCGGCATCGACGACATCATGCCCATTGCCTGCGACGGCATTGCCGACCGCTGCATCGGATAGGTCATTTGATTGGCCGGGGACATTGGCATCGACATGCCCGCCATGCTGGACAGCGGCAGTTGCATCTGATTCATGCCCGATCCGCCCATGCCCATCGGCATGCTCATTGGCATGCTCATCGGCAAGGAGCCGCCGGCCGCACCCTGCATGCCCGTCATGCCCTGCATGCCCAGGGGCTGCATGCCCACCATCTGCAAAGAATGCAAACCGTGAGAGATTAGAATGCTCGCGAGTGCGTACCCAATCCATAGCCCACATCGTCGGTGTAGTTAGCTTCGTAGGGAATGTTGTAATTCATGTTCATTTCTTTCGATCAATGCCAAGTCCTTCAGGAAAATACGGTTGTCAACTAGAAAATCACTCACTTCGAATTTTGGCAAAATTTGAGAAAATTAAAATTTATTTTTGATTTTTGGTTTTTTTTTTTTTGTTTTTGTTTTTTGCGATCTGAATGTTGAGTGCCAACGAACTAAAAGGTTTGTATGAATTTTCCAATTTCTAAAGGTTCCTCGAAATGGGATTGAATAGTCATTGCCTGCCTGGATTCAATAAAATCGCCACATTTCTACATCTCAGTTTATGTTGGAGTATTTATTTATTTTAATTCGTAAAGCTGAGGTGTTCCTTCAGTCAGTCAAGTCAGTTTTTGGGCCTGCATTTCCCATTAGATTTCTGTATCTATTAGGAAATATTATGTCCATATTCTGTTATCTTAATTTTCTGCTTTCTTTATCTTTCTGAGATACGAAACAAGGGATTTAAAAATATTGTAGAGGTTATTTGTTATGACAGTAAGGAGTGCTTTAGAGCAGTGCAGGAGCGGAGAAAGGCACAAGATTTGTGGGCAACCTGTTGTCAAATTGATGGCTGTAATATGGCGCTATTTTTGAATGAATAAATAGTTTGAATTGAAATTATACATGTATATTAAATTCTTGTTTTTCCAAAAATAATATTTATTTTTGAAAATCAAAACACAATAACTGAATTATTATTATAACATTTGTTTTCACTTCTTATTACTATTGCAATTTATTGTTAATAATATATAATAATA